ATGTGTCTGCATTGTAAAGTTACACGCCAGATGTTTGCTTTCTGTTCAATCTGTGTAAATCAGTTGCTCACCCCACGAAATGCAAACAGGCAGTAGTGCTGACAGATTTCTTAGGTGTCCTAGAGTCACTGGGCTTTGTCTCATGCCTCAATACACACTCACAAAGCTGCTCTCCTCAGCAGTAACACAAGATCTGTTGCATCTTGCTGCTTAATTATAGCAATGCCACTGACTATTATAAAACTTAATTATTATTTGTTATGACCCTGAAAACTGGCACGGCATGGCAGAAGAAACTTCTGGATTTCTTAGTCCAACTTTTCTTTGCAGACATGGAAAGTTTCCAGAATGGGAACCAGTGGAAAACCGTAGCTGAAGGGCAAGCAGCTGTCCTAAACTTCCCCCGCATCACCAGCTACCCCAAGCCGCAAGTGACTTGGTTTAGAGATGGGCACAAGATTATACCAAGCAGCAGAATGTAAGTAAAAATGCAATTGTTGTTTCAGATATGACTAACTGCACGCTTCGTTTATAATGCAGCTTGCATTTTAAGCACAAGATTATGGGATATTGATAACAAAGGAAGCTAATACCTTCATGGAATGAGATAAATGACTGTTTTAAGATGAGTCTATCAGATGTCTGTCTATTTCAAGACAATAGTTGGATCTACTCTTGCAGTATCAATCTGATCCTCACTAGGGATTATTTTTTTGCCTTGGGTACCAAAAAAAACCCAAGCAGATCAACCAATAGTTATTTAACCTGATACACCAACCTTCTACTCTACTTTATAGTATTTTATTTAACAATGGAATGGCAATTAGTGTTTGTTTTCTTTTAGATCCTTTTACCCTGCAGTGACAGTTTTATTTTCTTTAGTCTAATTATCAGTTCACCCATTCACAGGAAGTGGTTGCACTCTGATTACCTAAGAATTGTCGCTAGGTGTTCTCATCAACGGCACATCTAAAGTGCCAATCTGATTTTAAGTCAACCTCTGTCCTTTCTTTCAACGGCTCCCTTATGTAATTTAGTAAGCAATTAGTGGAGACTCCAGGGTTTTGCTTTTGTGTGTGTCTGTGGGCAAGAATATCAGAATGATTTATATAGCTACAACCACGAAGTTAAGGAAGTTTGCCAAGTATCTCGGAGCAGTAATGAAAAATTGATCCTAAGCGGCAAGCGTGGATGTCCTACCAACACCCGCCTGCTCAGGAGCAAATTTTCTACAGGTTTTACCGGACGCTTTTGCTTCAACTGTGTACAAGCATGTCATACACAAAGGTGACAGGAATGCTTGTTTATGTTGCAGAGTTTTGCCTTAATTAAACGTGGTTTAATTCATGAATAGCTAGAAATGGTTTATATACAATTTGGAGTGGGTACAGTCAAAAGCCCTCAGTGTTGAGCAAGTCACGGTTCTATGGTCCTATAACTCTGGGTATTATAGCCTGCTCCCAGGGCAGGAATTCCTGAAATTCTCTAGATGGAAAGTAATTATGAGGTGAGAGGTAATTTTCGCTGAAATCCAGTCTATCTACTTGGAAATAAATTCTGTTGAATTCAGTGTGTTCAACTTCCAAGTGTGCCTGGGATCGCAGCCATAAGCAGTTCACAAATGATAGCGCTCTTAATCTGTCCCAGCTAAGCCAAGTAAACGCCTCGTGGCAGATCTCGCTTCTGCTTCTGTATAGAGATGGCGCTATACAGGATACAGCAAGTGTGTTTTGCCCTCTTTAAGGCAAAGGTTTTTGTGCCTGATTGCTTAACGAAAGTTGAATTGTGCATTGCCATTTCGATTCCTTTCGAACAGGATGATTTTCTTTTTTTTAACCTTAACTGTGCCATAATGAATTCTGTGACATGGAATATATAGGGGCAATATAGCCTTTCAGATCAAAAGACTGAAAGGCAGTGGAAATCAGGAAAATGTTACTAGAGATTTCTGTTTCTGCAGAAAGGTAAAGGTTTGAATGAAACTCTATCAAAATGTATGAAAAAGCATTTTCTAATAATAAGAAACACATTTAATTTGCCAATTTGGGCAGTGTCTTAGGACTTAACTTTGAAATTTTAAAACAAATAGTGTTTATGGATTTGCACTTTAAACAGTATGTTTAGTTATTTTTCCACCTGTCTAAGAAAAAAAGGCTAGATTTGCTTCCAGAGGCTCTTCATCATGAATGACTGTGAAGCAGCCAGATATCCAACAGGTCAGGCTCAACATCACTACTTTTTTTTTCACTTTGGATGTTTCTACTATAGATTCAGATAGTTAACATTCCCATCCTAATCTCTTTTTTAAAATTAGTTGTGAGAAAATGCATTATAATTCTTGATGAGTTCTCTTATTGTTATTTTGAAGAGATTCTTTTTGATAATAATATTCTTTGTTCTATTTTATTTTCCTTGACATCTTAAGATGCTTTCTTGTCCAACCAGGAACACTGTGAATTTGTGATAAGCAGAGAAAATAGATCAATTTCTTATTCTTTGTTGTCAGTTCTTAGACTGGGATCAGAAAAAACTCTTATGATTCAAAGGACAAATGACTTTTCACCTTTCTTCACTATTCAGAACTCAAGGAAGACATTCTGCGATATATGAAACTTTTCTCTTGGAGAAAAAGAGCTGCGATTTCTTTCAAATACATAGGACTGTAAATTAGTATAGTGTAGGGCTACCCTAGACATATCAACTGAGAAATAAGTTTTTAATTTCAGGAAATAGTATATAACATTGCACTCTTAGTAATAGAACTTATACTAGTTGTCAGTTGGGATTTTAACTGTGTTCAGGGAGAATTATCTGATGTGTTAGCAAGCTACTGTATCTATGTTTATTAGCCCTAGGCCAATAAAACTTCTACTCTAAGCTCTCATAACATTTTAACTTCCTCCCAGCTGGAGATATACCTGGAATTCACTAGGTCTGCAAGATTTTTTAGAGACACAGTGAGGAAGAAACCAGATCTTTTACCACCTGAAAATGGGACTTTTTCAATTCAACTCAATACTATCCAGTGCTAAATAATGATGCCCCTCCTTGGGGTATCTGTGTACCTTAGACCATCAGATGGAATTGGTCAAGACCTATATTTTTCTTCCTCTCCTTTCCCTTTCTTCCCACTGCTTGCATTCTGCTCCTATTGTATTCTTCCTTCTTTGAGACAAATCTCTATTTTAAAAAATGCCCACGCTACATGATACAATCAAGAGGCAGGTAGAGGAGCAGAAGCAGGCCTGGGTCCACCCTCTGCCATATCCTGTCCGAAGCAGAGAGTTCCCCTTGCCAGATTAGGGGGCAGCCTAGAGGAAAGCAGTCACTAGGAATTGAAGCTTGGGTGATACCTTGGTCTTTCCTACTGTTAGTTGCTTAAGATAGCACCATGGAGGAGTTTATCCATTTCTGGATCCCTTGTTGCTGCAGAGTAGATGTTCTACACTTATTCTTCTATTTTAGATGCCCATAAACTTCTCCTACCAACCATTATGTATTCTGGATGAAGGTTTTTCTGGAGAGAGGGGGCAAAAGTTTTCTCAGCCAAGCCTTTCTTAGCTTGTCCTGTATTTCTCTAATTATCAGAATGATTAGATTTTCCTTTAATTGTGCCCATGTGGATACATTTATGACCATGTTGACACTGCTTGGTGAAGGCCAGGTGAGGAAGAACTGTTGCCAATCAAGCTTCAAAACTCATTTTGTAGAATTTTGCATTGAAATATTTGGCAATTAACCACGCCATCCAGCGAATGCTCCGAGAATCATTTCTTCAGGCACACCTTTCTTGCTTGGATTCTTTGACACTTTGGGGATAGTCCACTGTATTTGAAGTGCTGTTCCCAAAGATGCCCTTGGTGTTTGCTGGAGCAGTGCTCTGAAAATGACACTCAAATGAATCTTGTCAATATTTTGTCCAATAATGACTTTGTCCCTTCCTTTTATCTGCCTCCAGTAAATATCCTGCACTACTTTTACCCATTTGATGCTTGGTGACAACATCACTGCTCAGTTGTGATAGGTTGCTTCAGCATTTTCTGTGCCAAATTCAATTTGCAGCTAATTCTAATCTCTTCATTACGTATTATCATTTTAAGCTCTTTGAGTTGTTTCAGTATGTTTTCATTTTATTTACCAGTATATTTTCTCTTGATTTGTACGTTTATGGTAATTCACTAAGTAAGCAGTTTTTCATCTTACTAAAAGTAATTTATAGCCCTCGGTATCTAGGGAAAGATCTTTTTTTCTTTCCTGTGACAAAAAAGAAAACTTTCTTTTTTGCAACTGCTGCATTTCCTTTTGGGTATGGAATAAAGTCAAGTGTTTCTCTTTTCCCTTTGTGTGATATTTGATAGTGTTTCTTAAGAATTTGTTTCAATCAGCACATTTTATTCTTTTTATCTCTCTCTAGGAGCCCTAATAGTACTATTTTCATTTCTCTTCATATTTAATTGCACATTTTTTGCTTTAATTATTGATCAATTTTGCTTGAATGATTTTATATATATATATATAAATATAGATATTGCTCTGGTTATGCATCTTTCATGTGCTTGTAAAACATTGATTAAAAATAAATCTGTACATAGCTTGGGAATGTACATATTTATGGGGTGGTTGTTTTATATAAATTTATATACCCAATATTGCTTGGAACAAAAAAAAAAATGCTTTTGGGTGGCAAATCCGAATCCTCTTCAGAAGTTTGTGAATTCATTTGTACTGAGTGAGATAATTTCCCATCTATTAACACTCACATGGTGTAAGCACAAGCCTGTGGAATGGTTTCCTTTCCATGTTAGGAATAGGACTTGTCACACCCGTTTAATGGAGCCTTTTAAATTGCTTTTAGTGATTTAATGTTTTCCTTGATTTATTGCATTTCTCCTTGGTGATTTGGTGAAAAGACATATTCTTGATAGACAAATAAGTGGATGCCAGTTGTTGACAGATGTCCCACTGTTGCTAAAATATTATTTAGCACTAGGCTATTTGTGCATAGCCAATCATAAACTGTTATAATTATCAGATGCATGTAATGCAAATAGCTAGTGCATTTCACATATTCTGTTAAATTCAGAATAAACTTGCCAACAGTATGTAAAAAAGAGAGAGAGAGAGAGAGAGAGAGAGACAATGAGAAAGTACCCTAACATTAAAAGTAAACACTGTTATCTTAAGCATATATTCTTTTTTTCTCCCAATAGCTCACATCAACAGGTGATGGCTAAGCTATACTACATTGATAAGATTACAGAATTATCCAGAAGGATTTCTAAGATAATATGAAGCACTTTGAATGACAAAATGCAATAAATCTTCTAATACTGTAATGATTCTTCATCTGCTTATACTGGTTATCCCACTGCAGTCAGTTGAACAATCTCCCTAGCAAGGCAGTGATTTTAGAGGCTATATTTAGTGTACCCCCCCCCCCCGAAAAAAGAGAGAGGTAAGAATTCTTTGCATGGAGTG